CCCCTGGGGGGTGATTTCTTGCTTTCTGTCTCTATGTCTCTGTCTGTCTGGCGAGCGCACGCGCCCTATAGCGAAAACCTCTCCCCAAAAAAGAAAAAAGGTTGCACAAATTTATACCCCAATCTTTGAGGTATAAACTCTACTCCTGGTAACCTTGCTTGCCTTTAATTAATTAATTAATTAATTTGTAGAGATTTTTTGCTACAGGGCAAGTGCACTCACCAGAAAGAGACAGAGAGACAGAAAGCGAGAAATCACCCCCCATGCCATAGCCCCTTCTCCTCCATTCTCCTCTTGGCATCTTGGGCATGCATGCACATGTGCCCAGCATGAGTTTAAGCCACTGGGTCCAGGACTTGAACTGTGGTCAACTCTATGGGAGTCCAGTGCCAACTGCTGGTACCTTTACATTTTATTTTTAGAAGAAACAATAATATAACTCTTCATTTGATAGGTGCAAGTGGTTACTAGGTTAGTATTTAATGAATGTAATCTCAGGACCCAAGTTAATCTAAAACTTTGGGAAATACAAAAACAGGGGTAGATTTGAGAAAATGCGGTGAGATACTTAGCAGTACAAGACAAAAAGGGTCTGATGTGGCTACATGAAAGAAAGCATTTAATTTTTGACAACCTGTATTGGTCAGAAGTGGTAAAGGTCTAGAGTGACGCCTACTTTCCACTTTAGTTCTACAGTCACTCTTGTTCCAAGTCCTCCTCCCAGGAGGCGAATATTACCAGTTATTTGGGCTTCTTTCCAGTTAAGTATGCATATATAAGCCAATATATCTATATCTTCCTCTCTGCTGCATGTCTTTTGCCCATGAATAGTTTAATGGTATAAATACTGAACTATCTTGATGGCTTTTACATTGCCTTAAGAGCAACGTGATGATGCACCATTTCACCGCCAAGTCAGCCAACTGACTAATGCTAGGAAGGTACACAGATAGGGCAGATAACACAAGGGCTCCAAAATCTGTGGAGGGTTTTGGGTTAGCAGCTGGCATGGAGGTCAAGGCAGCCAGATTACACAGAAAAGGCAGCCAGATCATACAAGACTGGTTGCGGGTGTGAGTCCTGGACACAGTAGCTGAAAAAACATGCTGCGCACATGTGTGTGCATGCCCCAAATCCCTAAAGAACGGAGAAGAGATTGCAGCATGGCCATGTCCCCCTGGGCATGCACATCCCATAATAAAAAAAAAAAAAGAATCCTTGGAGGGTTTTTAAACTAGAGCATGTTAATTATATAATTTACATTTTTTGGCTAGAGGGTGCATGTGCTTTTCCAAAGAGTGTACAGAAGAGAAACAGAAAAAGTGAGGAAGTAGTTCCCCACCCACAGGAGATAATCACACTGTAATACTTTCTCTATTTCTTCTTTTGGGATCTTGAGCATGCATACACACATACACTTGCCATGTTTCCCTCAAGTCACCTGGTAAATGACTAACTGTGCAGGTCATGTGAGATTCAGCCATCTTAACATCACCACCAGCTGGACCTAATTCACATTTTTACAGATAATTTAGACTGTAGAACAGGGAATAAATAAGGAGATAAATTATGAAGACATTTTATCCAAGAAATGACTGGTTTAGAGAGGGGGAAGCAATGAAAGAGGCTAGGCCCAGCCTTGATGATGTAGGCACTGGCCCACCAAACTGCAGCACTGGAAGCCACATGGCTGCCTACAGGTTTAGGACCCCAGCCTGGTTGACCTGAAACCCAACAGGTGTGAGTGCCCAGGATCCACAAGACCTGGAAGGCTGAGGAAAGGGGATTACTGTGTGAGACAGAAGGAGAAAGAGATTACTGAGACATGTCAATGGCACCTCTCTCTCAAAATAAATAATCATACATACATACATAAGAGGACTGACAGAAGATATACTTTGGAGGTCAACTGTATTTGCTGAATGAATGGGATAATGAAGATTAAGGGGGCTATTTTAAGATGACTCATAGGGACATTTTAGCTTGAATACGTAAGGTTTAGTTCTGAGGCACTTAAATTTGGATGTATCTTATTAATATTACCTCTTATTAGTATTAATATAAATAATTAAATATAAGGCATCAAAATGAAGATGTAAAGCTGATAGTTGGATATATAAACTGGAGCTTGAGACCAGGATTA